TTCCACTTCTTCCATAAGCCTTTTACTGAGGCTTTTGTAATTAGTCTCTGCAACACAACAGGTCCCAAGCTAAGTACTAAGTCTTGCCTGTCTCACGTTCCTTCCCCGTCCCTCGTGTTTTTTCACAGATTATTGTCTCAATAAATTACAAACTCGTACGGCGCTTCATTTTCTAAGCTAAGTTTATTGTAAAGTGGGCTAATACTTGCATTTTTCTGACATATTCATGAGAAGACTTAAGCTAAGAAACATTAAAGCCTTCAAAACATTACCTTTCAACCCCAAGTTGTTTCCTCAAGCAGGAACAAAATTTTGCTCACATTGACAACACTACCCATAAATGCATGCATGCTCATCTAACAGAATCACCAATATACCTGTTTCATTCTAACCATTGCAGTAGGCTGAAAAAGTACAAATAAATACCACAGCTATTGTATGCCAACTTCAAAAGGCAAAACTAGTCAAACTAGCCAGTTTATTAATAAATTTTGCATATTTTGTAATGTGTTGCCTGTATAAATTCTCTTCACTCAACAGCCACTGTATAAGATATGTGTAGCAGTATATGGTGATTGGCTTAGTGTTTGCATTGTTTTACTATGATTAAGAATGATATACAGATGAACATATTTTAGTGTATCAACATATTAAGATTATGTACATGAATTGCTTCATCTTTCCTTCCCCCATCTATCTGATTTTGAGTCATGGAGAGTGGTTCCTTTTGTGGTGATGAGTCCCCGTTATGTTAGATTTGGACCCAACTTGGGGCAAAGAAGCTTTTTGTTACCACATGTACCTTGCATTGCATCTAGACTATGTTTCCACTAGTGCATGTTGGGGCCAAAGGGGCTTTTTGACTTCACATGGAATTTTTCGATCACTTAGCCAAAAAAAATAAAAAATTGGCCCCGTATTTGCATCTTTATCTGCAAATGTCGTCGAAAAACGATAGTCTTATGTGTGGAGAGAGTGAACAAAACATTTATTTCATGTTCTACGCAAGAAAATCGGTGATTGGTATTCTGGAGGCGCTGCGTTAGAGTGCCTCGAGCGTGCAACGGAGGTGAACGGGCGCATCAAGTCACGTCACACGTAAGACATGAGCGCTATCTGGCAGGTTTCTTGGAAAACGAAGCGCGTGGCTCTGAGATGGGCGTGCGCGCCAGTCTCAGAGGTGATAAGGAGTAAAACGCAAGGCGACGGGTAGGTGCCACCACCGTGTCGTCTTAGCAAAGCGCTAGAAACACTCGCCTTTTTGTGCAAGCGTAGCATGGTCAGGGCTGCATGATAAGCGCTACGGTCCTTAGAATTACTTACGTATGCATTTTCTAGTGAAGGACGCCCATACAGAATATATACGTGTTGTTATAGTGCCTCAGATATGCGCAATAACTTATTTTTAATTGACAATCGCACAAGTATGAATGCTGAATCTTGAGCAACATTGGTGGACGCTACGGATGGGGTCGGCCGTTTGGGATATCGGCTGGTGCAGCTTAAAGTACGTGGGACCGTTAAGAGAGGACAAACAGACAAATGTACAGGCAGACAGACCAAAATTTTTGCGTCGAAGATCCCCAAGAAAGACTATCGTCTTTATAAGAGGATGACCTTAGTTACAGGTCTGGCGGTCCCATGATGCCAATTTCCGACAGGGTGGGTGCCCTCCCAAGCGATTATGAACTTGTAAGCTTGTACCTATTTATCCAGTAGGTGCCTGGCGACAGCAATTCTCTGCCTCCCAAAGCAATGGCAGATGCTCAGCTATTTCAGCAAGGCTGTCGTGGATTAAGGTACGTCCAGGTGTTTTTTTAGAACCTTATGGGGCTATCTTTCGAGGCGAGTACCCAGAAACAACCTAGCGTTAGGTAGATGTACCTGTCTACCCATTGGAAAAAAACGCTGGGTTCGGCACTGGGAATTCACTGGTTTTTCCCAATGGGTAGAGGAGTACACCAACCTGGCGCTCTGTTTTTTCTGGGTACTCACCTCAAAAGGTGCTGCAGCCAGACACCGACTGGGAACCCACCGGTTTTTCCAATGATAGAGCACTACACCGACCTGGCGCTCATTTTTTTCAGGGTACTGACCTCGAAAGATAGCCCCATAAGGATCTGCAAAGGCCCCTGGGCGTACCTTAACCCACCACAGACATGGTGGAATGCCTAAGCATCCGCCGTTGCTGTAGGAGGCAGAGAATTGCTGCCGCCAGGCACCTACTGGATGAATAGATACAAGCACACCTTTGGCCTAGTGCTCGGCAGAATGAAGTTCATAGTTGCTTGGAGGGGCAACCCACCCTGTGGGAAATTGGCGGCATGGGACCGTCAGACCTTAAATTAAGGTCATCCTTTATTTTAACTCTTATGCCATTCAAGCTCTATGCATTAAAAATAACTTGAAAGATATTTACAACGTTAGTCCCTGTGCTTGCAGTCACACTCTCCAGATAAATATGCAAGATCTCTTTTATTACGTTTGAAGCTGTTGTGCGCATTATTGTATGATACACCATGTGGTAAGGATTCAAGACTAATACAGTTTACAGCTTTACAGCAAAATAAAAAGCTCAAGGTATGTTTGTATGAAATTACTTTGATAATCAATATTCATAAAAGCAGGAAATTGTTTTAATCTATCAACCAGTATGTCAGAGAATTCCTTACTTGGTCATGAAATGTTGTGTGTACCGACTCTCGAAGACACAGCTCTATTACCAAGTTGAACAAATCCAGGTTTGGTAGTTGGCCATTTAGCCCTACCAGCTTCAAGTCAAGCCGTCTGATGCGACTACTATGGAGTTCCAAGTTGATGGCAGCTTGAATGGGGCCACTTCTAGCCTTTAGTATGCCAGGGTCAATCACTGAGAAAAAAAAAATTTAAAAAAAAGCATTAAATTTCCCTTGTACATATACACCTCCAAATGATTAACCGACCAAGTAGTACAAAGAGCATGGCAAGGCTTGTCATACGCACCTCCAGGTGCAGTGCGAATGTCATGGTAAGCGTCCAGCCACGCTTGAAATCCAACCAACTCGTGTTCAGTGATGAGAAATATTACATCTTTAGCCCATGACACCTGAGCTGAAAGAGAAAGGCACTTAATGAAATGGGCCCGCTTTTAAACTGCCGTTGATGCATAGGAAGAAGTACAGTAGACTCTCAGTAAACATAAATCTGTCAAACGAAACTGCTGCTTAAATAGAACAAATGCATCTTACAAAATTGGTTTCATTCTTGCACCCTGGTCATCTCTCAGTAAACAGAACTCCTGGTAAATGAAACACATTTTTCAGGTCCCTTCAGGTTTCGTCTAATGAGAGTCTACTGTAGTAGTAAAATGAAGATCTGCACAGCACTTAATAGATGTATAAATGTTAATTATAGTTTATCACCTCTGAAATACTTGGCAAGAGCCACCATGAGTGCGATTCCAGGAAGTGTGGATCCATGAAGGTTGTCCTCTATGCGGTATGGTGAAGATAACACAACAGCCTCTGTGCCAGCACCTCGAGGAGCCCGCAGGATAGCATACACGTTTTCTCCACTGTGTGTCTGCACCGAATTCACAAATGGCACAGCTTAAGCACTGCAGAAAAGGGCAATTGTAGTGTATACAACCAGCCAAAGTGCTATTGTTAGTGATATTCTTTAGCACCATTAGTACATGCTGCTTTTTGCCCACAGAAAGCACAGCCAAATACTCTTAAAAATTTCCATGCTTTTAAATTGTACTTCTACATCAACCGTTGTTCTCTAACAAGCTGAAGCATAGAAGAGAACATATTGAATAGAAAACTACAAGTGTATCACCCTTGTAGCCTTACAGGCATGCAATTATTTGGCAAAGTAGTTAACTGTGTATTAGTGAACTATATATTAGCCCCAACATCTACTAGTATTGTAGAAATACAACGTATGTCACAGATAATACGTACGGGTTTCGATCCCAAGGGGTAGTGAAGGCTGAAATTGTGCCGGTACACATCAAGCCCTAGTTGACGAAACTGAGCAAGCAGCCAAGGCAAAGGCAAGCTGAAAGAGCACATACTCGTTTGAGCATAAAGTTCGCAGCCTTCCGGGGAGACTTCACTTTGCTTGCAACAACAAAAAAAGACTTTTCCTTTTCATTCAATGCCGCGTTAAAAATAAATGGCAATATGGAAAACCGTTGAGTTCGGAGTACAAGCGCACAAAATGCTCTTTACCTAGCGTGGCTTTTCGCCTCTTCTTTCAGACTTTCCAATGTGTCCTTAGCGAATGTACCGAGGTTGAACCTCCTGTTCACAAGGCCAGGCAGGAGAGCATTCTCGGAGAAATACGTCTTGTTGTTGCACTCTTCCCAGGCTAGAATCGCGAAGGCGATCAGCCCGGCTACGTACACCAATGCACACAAACGGTTGCAATTCTTCTGAACCACCAAAACAACTTTGTTGTTTTGAGAAGTGTTCATGAGCACACCCATGTTTTCTCCCTGTCAGTAGCTGAAGTTTCTACGCCACAAGCTTGAGGAACCGGTGTGCTAGCGGTGTGCTGGAAACAGCCTCCTAGCTCGACACCGGAATGAACGATGCGCTGAACGGTTCATAGCATAGAAAAATTGGTCAATGCCTCTGATGCGTCCACGCACTTTCACGAGCAGGGCACATGATTCCGAATCAAAAGTGACGCGAAACGAAGATGTATTCAACACGCTAAATCGACAAACGCCCCGCTAAAGAGTCCGCGACGGCGTGAAACGTCTGCACCTGCGATAAAATATAAACTAGAAATCCGATTGCCGTCTGCAGCCCCATCAGCCGGCTTCAACCGAAACTAAAATCAAACGAGAATTGTTTTGACACAAATTAGAGCTCCAAAAAAAGCTTGTTTCATTCCTTTTAATTGAGTCGTAAATGCTTTTCGAGTGTGAATGTGTTTGTTTTCCTAGCATCAGTGTGATGGTTGTGTAGTACACGCCGAGAGCGGCAACCTGTGGGCAGCAGGCTGCGGTATGCGATGACGACATTTTGCTCGAGAGGAAGTTTGTGTGTGTGTCATGGTGTGTGAGCATGTCTGTGGACTTTTGTTTATAAAGTTTTAATCGCGAACATTCGTGGCGCTACAGGACATGTTAGTGTTGTAGTCTGCTCAATGAACGAGCAATGTCCAAACCGCTGAAGAATTTGCATCATCACCAGAACGGCAGTATTCTAGAAGTAAAAAGCAAGGTAAGTTTGTGTGTTTTTAGGCCTAATTTGGCAGGTGCTGTCTTCCCCCTAATTTTATTAACGGTACTTGGAAATATTTTTTGTTTTGTTCTCTGTAACCGCGTTGTCTTTGATTAACTGTATCTGCTTGCATGCTCCGCTGTTTCTACAGGTTGCAGCGCGTAAGTATGCTTGTGCAAATCACGAATCCCCAACCGTGAGAAGTTCGCTATTGGGACATGATTGCGTCGAAACCCCGGACTGTCGCAATGTTCCTGGTATTGCGTCCTCGTTACTTTGACGTTCTTAATTAGCTAGTTCAGCATGTTTGTGCGAGTGAATATTGTGGGAGAGCTATAATGCAGCGCGCCACGGATGTCGTGTCATTGCAGCTTTTGGCGGCATTTGTGTCCTGACCTGCTTTTTGGTTCAGCAGCAATCTATCTCATCTGGAATGTATTTGTCAGTTTGACGCGAAGAGGTGCTAGATTTCTAAGCCGTAAAGTTCGAGCCTCGACGGCGGAAATAGCGCGCTGATCGGAATGTGTGCTCTCTGACGCATTCTTCATGCATGAGAAAGGCACGCCTTTTTTTTTTTCTTTATTATATACATTTTTTTCGTTTTTCACGGGTGGCTGCATCCTTGCCGAGCCCCGAGTGTGCATGTAAATGAGAGAAGTTCAGCTCATCTTTTTAATTTTTTTTCGTTTCAGCACGACGTGCCTTATTTAGTGGTGTCGCTTAGTTGCCCATTCTGCTGTCTTTTGTGGCACCGTCGTGCAAACTCGCAATTTTGAAACAGAAAATAAACTGATACAGGAAATTAGGTTTTGTTCCGACGAGTCTGTTTGAACCGTGAAACACTTTCCTTTCTTGCACACATAGCAGTAAATTCCACTCGGGCTACTGAACCTATAGTACTGTAACTAAGTGCTGGCAAATTTAGTTTAAACAAAATGACATTCAGATAATAGGTGTATTGTTTTTTCAGGGTATGATTACTCTGATTGCATAGTCCACAACTGTTGACAGCTGTAGCAGTTGGGCAGACATTGTTTTTCTTTTCTTTTTTCAGTCAAAGTGCTAATTACGCTTCATGGCTATTTATCAGCCTTGTTCTCGTTTCTATGTGCCAGTGCCTGTCATGAGAGAATGTTCATATGAACCATGTTTTCTGCAACATTTCCTTGTGTTGGAATCCGACTTTATTGTGTAGTTCGTTTTGTGAAAATAGAATGGAAGCTTACCCCCCCCCCTCCTTTTTTGTAGTTTGACATGTTGATAGTATAAAATGCTTGAGTGCTCAAAAACTGAATCAAATAAGGCCCTGTTTGATTCAGGCTTTGACTTGAGCAGTGTTTTATTGTTTAGCACTTGTGTTTTTGAGATGCAATATTTATATGAAATACCCATGTGGGTGTGTGACAGCTAAGTTTCAATCATAAATCTCCTTTCATTATTGGCAATGACATTATTTTCTACTGTTGCTCCATGTTTTCATATCCTTCATTCTTTGCACCTTGCCTTTCCTCTCTCTCATTTTCCTGCATTCTTTCCTTGCATATATATTTGTATACACAGCTGTGCTTGCTAAAAGGCAGCAGTATCAAACTCTCCATCATAGTTTTGATTAGGAGAGACAACACAGCTTAAATTATACTATGTTAATTGAACAAAGTTTTAGTTATTACTTTTTGAAACTGGTAGATCTCCTAATCTCAAGCTCTCTCTTGTTTATTTTGGAACAGCAGGAAATCAACAATGCGTCTCAGCATCAAGCACATGTGGCCAACTAATGTTCTGAAATGCAAGCAAAAGCTAGTTTTATGACACTAGATCATGTAAGGCTGATAACTTCACAATAGCCCCTAGTGTTGCCTATCATTCTTTGCCGAGTTTGAGGAAAGGAATTGTCACCTGTCAGCCAGCACCTTTGCACATCTCTGATTTGCATGTGTCGACTGCTGTTTTCCAAGCTTTAAAACCAAGAACTTCCATCACAGCTCAAGCATGGAAAACGCTTCAGTTTATCATGGTTACGTTCCCACACATAGTGTGCCTTGTGCTTGCGGAATTTGTTTAGAAGCATAGAATAAACATTAGTGTTCGATCATATGCATTGCCTGGCTGTACTTAAGATAACAGCTGGACATTTTTACACAGGAGATAGCACCTTCCGGCTTTCCATTCCTAACATTACTGTCATATGTTAGTCAGGCTTCCATCATTACTTACTTGGTGGCTACCAATGCTTCAGCAATAAAAGAATGAAAGCACAGGGATGAGCGTGGAATCAAAAGTTCTTACAATAACGGCTTTTTCCTCCTGCTAGTGAATTGGCTGTAATGTTGCTATTGGCAAAATGTCATTTATGTTTGCATCTCTGGCTCCAGCAGGCTGTTGTGTAACTCGGTTCCATTTGTTTTTTCACTATATCTACAGGCGCCCTGAATATGGCTTGCAACACTAGAGTGTGTGTCCTCGCTAGTTCAAAGGTTGCGCACAGCTTCACGTTCTTATTTCAACAACTAAAAATTGTTGAAAAGGTGTAGACAGATGGGCCAGTTGGCATGGACCCATGGAAGCATGCAGCACGAAAAAACAAGATTGACACAAAAACAAACCATGGGAACAAGCACAGCTTGATGTCAAACAATAAAATATTATTTTTCTATTTGGGATCATACCTATGTCGGAGAAACGCATTTGATTGATTTTTGGGGTTTAACATCCCAAAACCACGATATCATTATGAGAGACGCCGTAGTGAATGGCTCCGGAAATTTCGACCAGCTGGGGTTCTTCAACGTGCACCCAAATCTGAGCACACGGGCCTACAACATTTCCGCCTTCATCGGAAATGCAGCCGCCACATTTGGGATTCAATTCTGCGACCTGTGGGTCAGCAGCCGAGTACCTTAGCCACTAGACCACTGTGGCGGGGCAGGAGAAACGCATTTAATAATGGAATAAGGGCTAGTGAAAGCCATGTGCAATCTGTGAGCTTTTGAGGCCACACGCTCCCGTGTTGCAAGTCATATTGAGTGTGACTGTACCCTAAAGGGCCAAGCTACTGCTGCATGTTAATGGTTTTTATAATTTTATGACTGGTTCCATGTAACTAATAAGTGTGTAACCAGGCAGTACACAAGAACATTTTCACATGTTAAAAAGGTGTTCCCTGCTTCTTCAAAAACAACTTGAGAAGCTCTAATGTAGTGCAAAACAGCAGATGAAAATGAGAAAGCTCATATACACAGTGCACCACCATAGCACTGTGTGGCCTCCCTATGGGCCTTCTTATGTCCCTGTGTTGTTTTGTGCTACATTAAGCTTTTGAAATAAATTGCCAACATTGCAATGTTCGTCTTCAAAAACAAATGTACATTGTTTCTATCTTTAGCGAGCTCAAAAATCTTCTTAGCCATATGAATAAGGCCCCTGATTTTGTAGTTCACTTTATCAACTTTTAAATAACCTGTGGTCTTGCAACAGCAGAGCAGATCTTACTAATGCATCATTGCTTATTATTTTAATTTTTATTAGTTTGACGCAGAATTTCGACGATTCTCACTGGACAAGTCGGAGCTGTCTCGATACGATGAGTTCTGTCGCCTCATTGAACGGTTTCACAGCATCTCTGAAGTGCCGTTCAGTCTCTGCTACACTGACCCCATCCATGGTGACCTGCTGCCTATCAACAATGATGAGAACTTTGCACGTGCTGTCCAGTCTGCAAGACCACTGTTGCGGTTACTCATCCAGAGAAAAGGTGCCAAGAGGATGTTTGTTGTTTTTATCATCATTCTAAGCACTCTTGTTTTCACTTTGTGGTTTGAGCAAAAAAGGATGAGCAAAAGTCTGTTATGCATGCATTTGCTCATAGTATTCACATTCATAACCTATGTGAATTGTTCCTGAATTCATTTTGTGCACTTCGATTAGTAACCATCCTTAATGGCTAGGCCTTCCAATTTGTTGTGAATGTATTTGAGCCATTCCACTTGATTTCATAGCTTACATTTGAATTTTCTGACAGGTACCATCAGTTTAAGCTAAATCATACATGCAAAGTTAATCATCAAAATGTCTGTGGGGCATAGAAGTGTTCACCATGTAGCCAATTTCTGAGCATGGAGTTTCAATTAAACAACTCATAGAAATTGACTAAACCTGGGAAATGAACACTGGAGTGGCTTTCGAATTGTTCACATTTGAATTTATGTTGATTGCGAGTTTTGATTAGCCCTGGCGTGCCCTGCAAAAATTTGATGTGAAGTAGTTCTCAGGGAGTTGGAAGGATGCTGGGATTGTAGTGTCACTGGAGTTTTTATCTATTTAGTCTCGCTGCAAATCTTGTTTATTGTAACTAACGTGATTTGAAGGCATATGCAGTCACACACATTTGTGTTCTAAACAAGCTTCACATTGTGCTGTAATTTACAATAGTGCATTATCTTCTTACCATTTACTTTTAGCTGATCTAATGTGGTAGGAAAACTAAAAATGGTTTGTCAGGCTTGAGTTGATCTTTGAAAATTCTTAGTATAAATTTTTTCACATTTCTTTATTTTACCTACTTTAGACCTGCACAGTCTTTTTCTTAGTCAAATAATACAGCTAAAAAATTTGCGTATTGCAGAAGCATTATCTATTATGAGATTCTTTAAATGCAAACTTTCATTCATTTTTAACAATTGCACAGCCACTCAAAATGGTTTATTTTTAAACCTTAAGTTTGTGCATCCAGGAAAGCTGGACCCTTAACCCCCTGTTTTTTAGACTACAAGCTGTACTACTGGAAGAGACTCTCTGTATAACAGCATGCTTACTCAGTAAACTTAGCTTTTTATTTTATGTATATACACACACGTAAGACGCTAGCTTTTTAGTTTTTGGTACCCAATTACATTTTGCCTGTGGTTTAGCAGCATAACCAAATTAAGTTTACCTAGCAACTTGTACATGTTTGTACTGTTTCTATTGATTATTTTTCCCCCCACTCTGAAAGTGCAAAGTCCGTGTACCACAAAAAATATTTTTAATAGTTGGTAACTAGGGTAACACTTCAACAGACCTATAACATACTAATGGAATGTTGTATGTGCAGGGGACAGCCGTGAGGAGCTGAATGGTTTTGGGGGCCCTGGAGCTAGCCGCAAGAAGCGTTTTCTGGGCCAGTACCTTTTGCCAGCTGGTGTACGAACAGCCCGGCCTGCCCTTTCCATATCATTACCTGAAGATTTCCGCCAGGTGTCATCTATTATTGACGTAGATGTGGTGCCCGACACCTGTCGACGAGTTCGCTTGGTCAAGCATGGTTCCGACAAGCCTTTAGGGTTCTATATTCGGGATGGCACCAGTGTGCGTGTCACTCCACATGGTCTGGATCGACTGCCAGGGATCTTCATATCGCGCTTAGTGCCTGGAGGCCTTGCTGAAGGCACAGGTCTTCTGGCTGTCAATGATGAAGTATTGGAAGTTAATGGCATTGAAGTTGGTGGCAAGACATTAGATCAGGTATGGTTGCTTCTCCCAGTGCAAGACGTGCTAAAGAAAACATGTGCATTTATTGTGTCTGCTGTTTCCCATTGTTTCTCTGCAATACTATGTTTTCATTTTTTGATATATCTTCAGAGGAAAGAGAGCATTATTTTGGTGTGGTGCTTGCACCTGTACTTTCAGAAGCAGGGTGATATACTTGCATACTGACACTGTATGGCAGAGAAATAACCTACCCTTTCTATACCACAGATAGCAAAATACATGGTGTGTTTTCTGTTTGCTTGTTCATTTCATTTATGCTAAATATATTAAAAGGACTACAGCTCTCTTGTCATGAAATTAGTGGGGCTGGTGCAGTATTTTTGTTATTAGGGGATCTATAATCTGGCTTCCCATGATAACTTTGTATTACAATTACAGGCAGTACCTCTGACCACACACTGAACACAAATTGTTGTTTATTCCAGTACTGATTGGTAGTGTGGCCCTTCACTTGAGGGTGTGTTATTCTGTACATGAAATTTTAAGGGATGGATTTACCATTGTATATTTTTCACATAGAATGTGGTATGCAGCCACTGTTCTGTACTGACTGACCCAGGCATCAGTGACTTGCAATGCCACATTAACATGGTTTCTAATTACTATATGGCAATTTGTGGTGCTTCAATGTCACAGCATTGCTTCTGATGATGTCTCAGAAATTGATTGATTGATATGTGGGGTTTAACGTCCCAAAACCACTATATGATTATGAGATGTCTCAAAAATGGAGACTTTTATATTATAACTTATTTGTCTTGCTGTTTCAAAAAAAAATAATTAGCAAATTTTACAGTACTGCTTCCATAAGACAACTTCATTTGTGTTGTCCATGCAGGTGACTGACATGATGGTGGCGAATTCGTCCAACTTGATCATCACAATCCGTCCAGCCAACCAGTGTAGTGTGGGCACACTGCCTCGAAGGGGCTCATTTGGCCGCTCTTCGCAGATGTCACATGGCTCTCACAATTCCAACCCATCCGTAGTCTCGGATGATGACCGCTTGGATGAAGATGAAATCAGGGACCACACTGCTGGATTTGAGGGCCTTGACGAAACACCTCCTCGTAGCACCCATGACGGCGTGATCACTCTTTGACATGTGCCTAGGCACAGACCCATTTTCAGGGACTCTTCTTCTCTCCTTTTGTCCTATTCAGCCACCGTGGTAAGGGGCCCTTCCTGGTGCCACAGGCAGAGCCCCTTCCCCGTCTGTTTTAGATAGAGGGCATTGGCTGTGAGGCAAGTGTTTCAGCCATCCCGGAGGGCCAGCCCATGTACAAGGCTCGCTTGCCCAAGAAGCCATGAGCAGCACCAGGATTCCTGCATCCTTTTGAAGGCAGCTGCATTAGGCAGCTGCTACTGATGCTTTTCTGTTTTACGAAAAGACACTATACAAATACATACCATATATATATATATATTTTTTATACATTAGACAGGCCCATAAAGGGACGTGTTGTGCATGTGTGGCATTGCAGTATTTTTTTTCCTGCAGTGTGTATGAAGCCTTTTTTGTTTTGTTTTAAACAATGCTGACTGTTACTCATTTTCATAAATGATTTTGTGCATAGGTTACACCATTTTGACAGCCTCTTGCTGCACTGACCTTTTTATATGTTGTTATTGACGTTGCCTCTTCAAGTTCCATAGGTGCAAGTGACATGCATTCTTGTGCTCTTTTTTTTTTTTCCCTAGTGATGAATCTTACACATCCTGTGCTTGCACTGACACTTTTTTTTATAGACTTTACATGCTTCCTTTGGCACGCTTTTTCTTCGAGCTCAAGTGCCTTGTAAAAAAAACTGTGCATCCAGAATTCTTCCACGAACATTGACTCTGAAGGCAGGCCTTCATAAATGTGATTGCATGGTTTTTATGACAAACTCTGCATTCCAGGACTTGCACCAAACATTCCTTTTTTAGTTAGTGACTGTAAAGTTGAAATGCAGGTAATAAAACTTTGCTACAAGAGTATGTGGTGAATCAGCAAGGTTTACTAGTGATTTAAACTTTGCACATCTATTGTCTGTCTTTCCAGTGTTTGTGAGGTGTACTTATTTATTTCTTCTGTCATCTGCTTTCTGTTCTGTAATGGCTTCCCTTGAGAATATTATGCTGATGGAAGAGGACATCGAGAAATCAAACAATGCACTCAAGAAAGAAATCAACATACACAGCAATCTGGTCCCTTTAGAAGTTTGCCAATCTTAATCCACTGTATGCTGGCATATGTGTATGCTGCCATCTGTTGCTGCTCTATGCAAGGGCCGTGAGCTGCATTCACAGGGACTTGGGGAAGAATTGCAGTGAAAGCTCAAATCTGTTTGAAGGACAGTGTCATTAAAATAAATTGGCAAGCTATGGTCTCAATTGAATCTGTGGCTCTGCTGAAATTTTGAAAGCACCTTAATTGCCTGTTTTCAGCAAAAATAAAGCTTGAGTCTGCAAAAGCTTAGAAATGTATTTATTTTAGCATAGCATGAAATTTCTACAGTAGCTCTTGAATTGTGCTGCCAAAAATAGTCATGGTTCCATTAGGTACTTTTGCACATCAAGCAGTCTCGCGTGTTATTGTTTAACCCTAGCCTTACACTATAATGTATTTCATAGCCTTGGTTCAGCTGCAGAGCTTGAAATCCCAAAATGTTCACTTTTGGTAATCGGCTTGCTATTGCTAGATACAGTTGACAGCTCTTGTATTGGTTGGAATAGCTTGAAATATTATGCTGCTTTGTACTGAAGCATAAGCTACTGTTATGATGTAAAGGTCTAGTGAGAAAAGAGCTCAATTACCTGCTCATTGAGAACATTTGCGAACTTTATTGCTGACACAGGCTGGTAGCAATTGTGAAAAATTGCAGGAGCCATCTACTCACTACTAGCAGCACGTCACCTGGCATGATGGTTGTGAAGGCTTTTAATGGGTGAACAGTTTTTAATGGCACCAGTTATAACTGTAGGCCCCATGCACTTGCTGTCCCCACGTTGCTAAAATTTCTGATGCATATTTTTGGTGAATCTGCATAACATTGGTTTTCTCTTTTTTGTGTGTGAGATTGGCATTTCAGTAGGCACATTCCTAAAAAATTGCAGATATAAAGTTGCAGAATTTCATATGAATCGCATCGTGAACATCTCGAAAATGTTGCAGCAACATGCATACAAAAGTTAGATTGTTGTAGAAAATGTTGCAGCAACATGCTTCCATGAGCTTTCAACAATTTTTTTTTAAGACTGTCCAGAAGGACCAGTTCAATGTGCTATAGTTGGATACAACTTGAGAAGATAGAAATGGCCCCTCCTGGATGACAAAACAGGGACCGCTGAAAGCCTTCGCAGCTAAATGATATCGCTTGCATGCCGGACAGAGGAGTGGCCAGCCAGTGGGCTCATGATGTCAGCCTTGAGTGCGTGCATATTTGTGTAGGCTCATAATCGTCCACCTTTGAGAAAGAAATTCCACTGCCTTCCGAAGTTGTGTCCGGCTGTAGTTGGCTCATTGCTTTTTGAATTTGTTCAAAATAGACGTTCAACATGGCATAATGAGTCTGCTAAAATTGCTGCATTTTTTTTTTTACTTTACAAGGGCAGTTTCTAATGCTTAACGTCATGAAAACCTGCGGCTACTACATTCAAACCTCATTATAACAAAGTGATTGCAATTTGCCTTGAGATTTCCATACAGATACATGTTTTTGAAATGTTTTTGAAATGTTTTACTGAAGTAAATTGTCATATTAATGGATTTAAGTATATGTAATATATATATGTATTCTTGTATATAATCGTGTATGCACATCTCGCAAGAACCACATTGTGATCTGCAGTGTGTACTGAATAAATAACAAACTAAATTTGTCTTGAAAACCTAACATGCTCCACACTTTCGCGCAAGCTATATCACTTACGCCGCATAGCACCTCACTGCCCGCCCAATCTAACTTTTGGGTCATGCATTGCTCATTCATGTTTTGATATTTTTCTTCGCTCTTGGTTTTCTCTAATTCCCTATTTTAACAGAATGCAGCTATTGAAAGCCGGCTTGCCAGGTGCTAAGAGTTTGTGTGGTGTACTGAGCATTCTTTGAATGATTTAATCCATTGCACATGCAACTGGGTAGCATTAATGCCAGATGCAACACTGCTTTCTTTGCATATATAAAGTTTCGCATCCTAGCAGCCATATATCTGACATAACAAGCAATGGCAGAAGCCAACGGGGTAGAAGGACTGGAGCAATGGAATAAAAGTGTGGTGAATGTGCCAGGGCTTATCTTTGATCTCTGGCATCACACATATATAGTGCCTCCCCTTCAGCTTAGTTACTATGAGGGTCATGTTTAAAACTCGTGGCATTTTTTCAGATTTGGTTATAGATGTGAAAAATGTAGCAGTAAAGTACTATGAAAGGCTCATTTTTGTACCAAAATTTTATGAGCTACAGCTTAATCTGGAAAAAATCTACAAATATTTAATGGAATGTGCTGCAACTATTAGGCAGATTTCCCATCGTGTCGTCTTTTCCTCAAAGAATGTTTCGGTTTGGAGATCGCAGTTTCCTTCAAAGTGTATGCGAATACAGAAATTCTGTTGTTCCCCACGTGTAAGGTAGCAAACCGGGCATAGTCCAGTGAACCTCCCTACCTTTCTTGTATTCTTTCTCTCTGCTAGGGAGCAGCTGAACCAATTGTGTTCCAACAGGAGAGTAGTTCCATAGCCTTTGCAAGAATTATGAGAACCAGCAAGAATGTGTTACGGTTTAGCTTGTATAACTTGTAAACTGTCACATTAAAGTGCCAGCATTGCTGTAAACTGCATCAATCGGTTAAGTATGGTGCACAATGCAACAAAAAAAAGGTGGTATAACAGAACTGCCTATTCGTTTTATTATTTATATCCGTATATTCCTGTTGATAATTTAAAATTCTGGTTAAGTTTTATTTTTTTTTGGAGAAGTACTGACACGAATTTTTTTTGAATATTTATCTAAACACGGGTGTCGAGAATCCTTAGAAAAGTTGGGATGCCTTATATATATATATATATATATATATATATATATATATATATATATATATATATATATATATATAATCACCGGTACCCCTTCTCGCACCCCCTCTCTCTATGGGGCGAGGGTGTGCGGCTTTACGTAGCCACGTACCCTCTCCCTCCATAGAAAGAGGGCGCGCCGCCGTGTCGGAAAGCCACGCGCAGCAACGGGCACTTCACGGGAAGACAGCAATTCGCAACGTGCTAGCGGTAGCTCTTCTATCTGCTCTTATTGCACGTAAATAATGAGAGCATTGTCTCCAGCGGCCCCTACAGTGATTTTTGTGATTTCGGCTGCATGCAGCACAGAACAACGTTATACAACGGGCAGAGGAGGTTCTATAAACGTTGGGACAGCTTTCGCAACCTCAGTGGAACTGTGTTTTTAAACACTGTAACCGTGTTGATAATGCCCTTTGTTGTGTGGTTAGCTCGCTGATGCTCAGCGACAAAAACTTAAGGAAATATTTTATACATGTTGGCTGGCTCTGATGAGTGGAAAGTGTAAAGGGGTGGTGCCATAAAATTTCGACGCTATGACAAGCCTGTTGCCTTCCTCTGCATGCAGGGACATTCCACGGGAAGGATAGGACACAACAAACGTTTAGAATCTATATTTATTCACTTCCAAAGTGGGCCTAAATGCTCCTTCTCCCGCATCGCTAGCGCGTCCAGCACTAGTGAAAGCTGTAGTGACGTCACACCAGATATTTCGTGACGTGAGTAACCTTCACAACGTACGTACAGGCGAAGCACCTTTTGCGGCTGCTGCAGCTAGCCATGGTAACTGCCGACACACTTGTTTTGCTTGTGCGGCACGTTTGTGAGAGAGCAGACGGTACTCGGCCAACACCACCTAGAAAACTCGGCACGACACCTTGCGTCACAGCCTTCTGTGGTCACGTGACCAAGCCACCTACACTTGCTACGTCGCTGCCCAACTGTCGCTCAGAAACCGAAAGTACTCCACATAAATGAGGCGATATTAAAATATTTAGCGGGAATACATGAATCGTGATTGATTGATATGTGGGGTTTAACGTCCCAAAGCTACCATGTGATTACAAGAGACGCCGTAGTGGAGGACTCCGGAAATTTTGACCACGTGGGGTTCTTTAACGTGCACCGAAATCTGAGCACGCGGCCCTACAGCATTTTCGCCTCCATCGAAAATGCAGCCGCCACAGCCGGGATTCGATCCCGCGACCTGCGGGTCAGCAGCCGAGTACGTTAGCCACTAGACCGCCACGGCGGGGCAATACATAAATTTTGGTACGTGTATCATGCTTCATGGAGCTATAAGAGACGCTTGCAGCAAAGAACGCGCAAGCCACAAATTTGGTGGTCCCACCCCTTTAACACTGTGTACCAAGGAAACGAAAAATGTACCAAGGCTCTGGCTTGGTAAGAGAACACGTCCGGCTGAATGCAGGCGCTTCTCTGAACAGCTCAGCCAAATTTTGCAGCCGTGCGTTGTAAGTAGCCTTTCAAGCGTGCTCTCTTCATACAGAGGTCCATCCTCACTCCATTCGGTGGACGGCCAATCTGCTGTGTCACGCTTACATAAACCTAGAGCTCTGTTTTAATCAGATGCGCTTCTTGTCATCGAGTGACGCCGGATTCGCTACGAGATTTTTGACATTAAAATGTCTCGATGCCACGGAGAAGCGTTTTTCTCCGTGTTGTTCGATGCACTCCACACCCGCCGCTTAGAAGAGAGTAAACAACCGCGTGTTCTGCTACGGTGTCCGCCATTTTCGCGCCTGTTAAAAACCAAGAACGTGCTGCCGGCACGCGTGGGAGCAGTTTACTGTGAGTGCGGAGTTTGAAAAGGCTACGATGTTGCGGAAAGGCATTAACACGTAATCATGCTTACACGAAGAATGTTTTCGATGGTTTACAGCCTAACATCACTGCAATATTCACAGCCCCACGCTTGTTGTTCTGCGCTGTCTGAAATATTTTTGAAACGCGTTGCTACCGCTGTCGACATGATCATGAGCGTCCAGAGCGTGGTGCAGGGAGGGGGGAACAGGCCCCTCCTTGAATGTTTTGATGCTATTTTTCTATGCTGTAGCCATAGGCCACACGTAGATTAACGCACTCAGGTCCCGCATATTCGTGTGAAATGGCCTTCAGTATTGTCAGTCAACTTTGCATTTTACACACTAATATTGCCGATCATGACCCAGCAGTGTAGGAAAGGCTGCCTGTGCTTGATGGCACCCTCCTCTCCCACTCACCCTGGGGATGTTGACTCCAGCAAAAATTTCTGCGCATGCCCTGGTATGATACCTCATGTACACTCAAACGGAAACTGAGTTGTTCGACACTGACAGATCTCGCTCTTTAGGTCAAAATAACGCGCTTGCTCAGACCTTAGTCTATAGCAGACAATAATCTAAGGTCGAACTGCCGTACTACTCGGCACTGCTACTTTTAAGGATGATTACGTGGCGAAACTAGTGAAACTGTGCTGCTTCGAAACAGTCATGCAGCAATAATGGTGAAATTTTTAAGGACGTGTCGACAGTAAAGATAGCCAGTTAATAAAACGAATAAATCTGCAATTGTTGTCTGGAGGTTTGATTAAAATTCATGATTTTATTATTTACCGGCATGCTCGTCTTTGGCAATAAGAGCATAAGCTAATTTCATGTAGACGTTTAAACAAGGCAGATGATGGTGTCACTCTGTGATTCAACTTTACAAGAGGGGCAACATCTGAAGGGGCAACAAAAATAAAACAGTCTATTATGGCTTACTACATCAAAACGTCATTTCAGAGTTCACTGCAGCTCACTCATGCATGCACATGTTTTACGCTCATGCCTGTTGGGGCAGGCATGAGTGTTAAACGTGCCTTCGCAGCGACTTGACACAGGTTCACGTACGCGCAGCCTCGCGTATTCAAATTGGCTTTTTTAAGCAGTGTTTTCGTGTTGCTAACAGCAACATAATGCAGATAAATGAAGCTTTTGTGTAGCTGCCGTTTGTGGGAGTGCCGTCATACTAACACTGCAAGTATATGAAACGGACTCGGTTTTGTTAAACACAGTATAAATGACAAACACGGTGCAAGAATACTTTAGGTGAGCGAACGCCGGGACTATCCGGTGCCCGATAATGCTCTGCTTCGCAAGGAGCCCGAGAGATGGCACTAAAAATTTTGTCCCGGCTCCCCTCCTCTCTCTCGGTGTAGGAAATCTCCGTACTACAGCGTACTAGAACCCGTACGTAAGAAGGCACTGCGCCGTGCTGCCGACCGGGTTGCACAAATTAGGTGCCTCTTCTCAACTTCTAACCACTACCACCACCACCACCCACGTAAGAAAGTGGCGGCGCTCGTTTATCGTCGCCACAACACCCTCGCCGCAATGTCAACCTCCTCCCTTATCACCTCTTTCGCGGCGTCACTTTATCCGTGTCGCGTGGTTGTTATCGCGCAATCACCCGGTTTTCTCCGATTTGAAAACCATCGCCCACGTGCCGGATGTGCTTTGCAGAATTTGCCAGCAGGCCGCCACGGTCATCAATTCAGCGAGCCATCTATCGGCATGCCGCAAACAAGAACATAATCGGTCCCTCCCCGCCAAGAGCTCGCTTCGCGGCGTTCGCTCACCTAATGTATTCTTGCGCCGTGATGACAACAAACAATTATGCTTCTACGCAGGGTTAACTCTGCCTAGTGGCCCAACAACCAATGGGCATTTCCCGACAGTGCTTTGACACATTGTGAGTGTAACACGTCGCATGTTGTTTCGCGCTCTCAGATTTACCATTCACACCGCTATGCATGCGGAAAGGTCGGTAGTGAA